ACACACACACACACACACACACACACACACACACACACACACACACACACACACACACACACAGGTTCGGTCCATCCTGCTGTCAGATATGACTTATGGGTATTGCTCCTGGCGTTGCACCACTGACAGGGCTGTCAGTCACACCTCAGTAATTCCTGCGGCTGATTTCCTCAGCATGCTGCCTCTGTAGCACCAATCGAATATCCTACAGAGAACATTCATTTCTACAAATTGTTGTTAGAGTGGGTGTGGAGGAAAGGGCTGGAGGCGGGCTGTGGGCTGAGTTGATTGGGAAGTTAAATGGGCGAAGTTGGTCAGCAGGGATAGGAGGTTTATCCCTGTTTTAGAGGTCCCGTTTGAATCAAACCTAATGTGTGTGGCAAGAGAAATGATTTTCAGGGTTTGTGCTTGTGCTTTAAAATCCTTGTTAAATGCTTGATTAAACAGTGTTTTCAAGGTTTGGAAACTGCTCAATTTCTGAAAGTGCTTGATATTCTAACTGCACAGTTTTGTCAAAAAGATCACTCTAATGGCTTAAACACCTCATTTTGATATTTTTACCGTTAAAACGTGCAAAATAGCAAGCAATTATTTCACTTTAAGTGAAGTCTCAGAAGCTTCGCTRCCTCTCAGAGTGAGTTTGCTCCTTTTCATAATATCGGCATGTGAGCGGTAGACATCACCAGATGAAAAGACCACCCACCGGACCAGCGGCGTCCTCCGGCACAGCTATGAAGCAGACCTGCTTTGAACACGTAACTGTCTTTCTAGTGGCGCACGTCTCCGGCGAGCGGGAGAAAACGGCACGCCAGGCGTTTTAATGTCCGCTGGCTCGAAAAACGCTAGATTAATAAAACATGGCTGAAACAAGGACCAAACTCTCACGCAGCTTCCTGTAAGATATGCAAGGACCTGCAGCTGTTTACAGTGGGAGAGTCAGTGCCCTCGAGCCATGATAAAAGGTAATCCATAGTAGTAAAGTTAAGCTAGCTTAACTTTGTAGGTAAATTGCAAAATGATTGTTTAAAGGATGGATCAAGCTAGGGTTTTCTGTCATCTGTTGGAATTTAAACTGTGCAGCAACAWAACATTTTGATTGAAAATGCTAGCATAGGTTAGCTAATGGTTTAATTGTGGTTTTGCAATCTCCCATCATTCATACTGTCATGATGTCTTTTGAGCTTCTTCTGCCTAGATGTCAATCTCATATTAATACCATAACTTGCAGATTTTTATTGTTACACAATATTTTAGACGAATATGTTCCCTTCACACAGGGACTGCTGTGTGTGCTGTGGTTATAAAACTCAATGGAAAAAGTGGCACAGAGTTTGATGCTGAAAAGGTTTGACAATTTACCTTGAAAGTGCTTGAAAAGTGCTTGAATTTTGCTGTGGAGAAAGTGTACGAACCCTGGTTATTACGTGCCACTGGCTCAAGATGCTAACCTGATGCTTGGCTTTTTTGCACCTACTTACACCGCCGACAGCTTCCAATATGCATGGAAAACGTAGCTTTTTTGTGATATTTTGACACAATATTAAGTGAAGTAATAACAGTTCATGTCTGGAGTTAATAAATATTGAAGCATTTAGGGATGATTAAAATGAACTTTGCTGATTAAATGACTTGCACAAGTGGAGACACTGTGTCTGTGGTATAAATTTCTGCACAGCTTTGTGCCAGAAGTGTCTGAATTGGGCTCCTGAGTCCTATTATAGACTTTTATCATCTCTAATGCTTCAAACTGAGTGAGAGTATTATGTGCTGAGAGAAAATAAATACATCATTTGGGAAAGGGAAGATTTGAGAGCACTTTTGTATATAATGCATATGAAAATTGAGTTCAGTGTAAAAAAACCGGCCCCGGGGCTGCAGGTCACGGGCTGTGTTCTGCACAAGCAAAGTGAAGTAGTTGTTGGACAAAAATGGACCAGAGTTGGATTTCTATCCCTCTGTACCACGCCCCTTGAAGTTTTATCATGGTAATTTCTGAGTGGAAGCTGACAATTTACATCGCATTCGAGCTCGTGCAGCTTTCACCTCCTGCAYGGTTACAGTCGCTCTGCAGAAGTCGGCCTGTGCCTCGCCGTAAGCCTTGCAGCAAGAGCCGTCTAATTAGAGGAACATGCTACACGCTGGGTAATCCTCGACAGATGCGGCATCAAAGGCTGTCAGGACTGAACGTGATTATCTGTAGTTACCTAAAGTATATTTGAACAGAGGGAAATGATGGCGTGGTTTCTGGCGACTTTAACTTATTTATATTTCATTTCAACTGACTAAGCCGTGTGGATCTCTGCCTCGTCCCTTTTTCCCCCCATTTCAAGCAATAATCTGTCCTTCTAGGATATCCACCACAGATGATGGAAACCTCTGATGTCTCTCTAATAGAGCTGTGGTTTCACTCTCAAAAAAAGATATTTTCCTCTCAGGCTCTTTGTCTGAATATCGGCCTGTTTGGTTGCAGCATCCTGAGCCTTTCGCAGGTTGTTGTTTCCCTCTCAGAGGTTGCTCTAACTGCACATGACAGCTGACATAACAAGAGGCTCTGTTTGCGTCCTCCTCCTCAGGGGTGCTGTGGAACCTCTCGTCGTGCGACGCCGTCAAGATGACAATCATCCGGGACGCCTTATCGACTCTGACCAACACTGTGATCATCCCTCACTCTGGCTGGAGCAGCTCCACTTTCGACGACGACCACAAGCTGAAGTTCCACTCCTCCCTGGTGCTGAGGAACACCAGCGGCTGTCTGAGGTAAACCACCTGATGATCTCATTGGACACCAGCGCCCCTCTGTGGACATTTGATGCAGTTACAGCCGATTAGAGATGAGCTCATCCTGCATCGCATGGGCAAATTGATTTATTATTGTTAAAATGCGAATAAAACAGAGTTGATTCACCACAGACACACAAAACAGAATCTTAATTATATATTTTCTGCTACAGTTACTGCCTGTCTTGTCTGTTTTAAAGTCTATTAGTCAAAGACGATGTAATAATACCAGCTTTTCTCCTTTGGCTTCTTGCTTTGAAGACATTGTTAGGAGCTCAGACTTTAATTAGAGACAGTTAGCTGAGTGTGTATGTGTGTGCACAGTTTTGTAGGGCGGTGTAGCTGATGGGTTCTTATTTACGCCGTAAAATACCGTAGTAACTCGAGTCAGACCAAACAAACGCGCCTCATACATTAAAGATGGAGTCTGAGAATGACAAAGCCCACATGACGCTTTCAAGTGGGACACACACGGAGCTGTCACTTTGTGTGTTTGCCTGTGTGCAAAGCCATAACGAATGTTTGTGTTTTTTTTTTTTTAAAGGAACTTGAGTTCAGCTGGCGAGGAGGCCAGAAAACAAATGCGTACTTGTGAGGGCCTGGTTGACTCACTGCTATACGTCATCAAAGCCTGCGTAAACACCTCTGACTTCGACAGCAAGGTACGCCACACAAAGCCTCCTGTCCGCCCATAATCACAACGAGCGCACACACTTAGCCAAAAGGAGAATATGCTGCCACACGATAAGAGGCTTACCCTTATTGAATCATTTTATTGCCTGTGACTAAATGAGTGTCTCAGCAGTGAGCAGCAACTGTTTAATGTGCTTTTTTTCATAGCTTAACCAATGCATGCACCACAGTAGATCTCAAGATTCATGCTTTATAGTAGTTTTACAATTTTCTGCTGATAAATATTTGCTTTGTCAGCGACTTACATAGTCATGTGTAACAACTGAAATGTGGAAAATTGTTTCTCTTTATTTTATTGATTGACGTTCTATGAAGCGAACTCATACAAAAGTCATCCAGCATCGATTTAAAATCCTTGTGTTCAATTTTTTTTTCTAATCCGAGACCCTTAGAGTCCACATTTAATTGAAATGTTGCAGTTAGCAGCAAGCCTGCGTCCTACATGTCGGCTGTAGATAGCAGGCTGCACTAAATTAATTGTTGCTTTTGTTATGGTGATTTTGAAAGCCCCAGCTATTAGTGCCCACTCTGAAGCTTTGTTTCCCTCCCCACCCCTTCTTGCACCTGCCAGATTGTGGAGAATTGCATTTGCACTCTAAGGAACCTTTCCTATCGTCTGGAGCTGGAGATGATGCCGTCCCGACTGATGGGTGGACACGAGCTGGACGGCTTCCTGGGCAGGGAGTCGCCCAGTAAAGAGGTGGACTCCAGCTGCTGGGGTAGGAAAAAGAAGAAGAAGAAGAACGGCTTGCAGGAAGACTTGGTGGGTGCACGAAGAGTACACAAAACTTTCACAAAAAGTACCAAGTCTGTTTATTCTCGTAGTTTACATTAAGTTGTCTTGTTTTTTTCAGTGGGATGGTGTGGGACCAATTCCAGGCTTCTCCAAGTCTCCCAAGGGGGCAGAGATGTTGTGGCACCCTTCAGTGGTTAAACCTTACTTGACTCTGTTGGCTGAGAGCTCCAATCCTGCTACTCTGGAGGGTTCAGCTGGATCCCTTCAGAACCTGTCAGCTGGCAACTGGAAGGTACATCGATATACATCTAAAGCAATTTTCCTGTGTGACATGAAGAGCGTTCTGACGTTTGAGTGRCTCCTACATGTACAGTTTGCAGCGTACATCCGTGCAGCTGTTCGTAAAGAGAAGGGCCTGCCCATCCTGGTGGAACTGCTGCGGATGGACAACGACAGGGTGGTGTGTTCAGTCGCCACTGCTCTGAGAAACATGGCGTTGGACATCAGGAACAAGGAGCTCATAGGTCAGAGTTTCCACTGTTACTAGATGTAAATTTTGTCCTGTAWTGGTACCGGTTAGCTGAACAAAACTCTGCATGAACTTTATGTGAAGACTGTTCGGTTTAACGCTTTTACTTTGCTCATGTTTAAGTCAGAAGCCAGCTTTTAGCTGGGATTTTTAAAGAGGGTGTTTACATCCTAAGCTGGTGGTCAAATACAAACTGCCCAATTTGTAATGTGCTTAGAAAGATTCTTCAGCTAAACAGCTGAAACTTAAGCTGGAAACATACTCCCTCCGAACTGCCGACGTCGGCACGGGTTGTCGCAGTTTCATGACGAAAATTACGTCACCGGGCTTCGAAGCATCGGCTCGGCAGCCCCTTTTGGCACAACCCGCCGGCAGAACTTTTTAACCCCCCTCCCGCGACGATGGTTATGTGTGATTGGTCTGAAGTTCATGGGTGTGTTTGTTTGTGCTGAAACTGAAAGCGCTCGGACACTCAAAAGAAAAAAAAAACTTGCTTGTAGAGCCGACTGTCGAAGAAGAGTTTTATAAAGATAGTCAAACTGAGAAAAACTCATGGCATGTTTGTTTGTGCTGAAAGTGCTGTGGGCTGCATTTACTTCAACCACTCGGTTAAAAAAAGGAAAAAAATGAAATAAAACCGACTCGCTCCCAGAAACGAATATTACCAGGAAGCAGAGTTTTATAAAGATAGTCAAACAGTGTAAAACTCATGAATGGAGATTAAACAGACGTTGTGCACGGAGGAATCTGACTGATAAAAACTGTTGAGCTTTAACCAGGACAGATGTGGATAAATACATCGGGTGAGTGACGAGTCCGACTTTTTTTTCTGCCTTGTCGGCTGTTGCGGGGAGAAACTACATGTAGAGACGTATGTTTCAGCAGGATGGGGGGGTTTCCCGAGCTCGACGCGGTGTGTCTCAGGGACTATGAAAAGTGTATGCGAAAACGACTGCTGAACAACCAAGTGACCGCGCGTCGACCCGTCGGCGTTGGAGGGAGTATGTTTCCAGCTTAAGGCTACGTTCACACTGCAGGCAAATGCGACCTAAATCCATATTTTTTTACTCGTCAACCAATATCGGATTTTTATATGGCAGTTTGAACGTGACAAATTACATTTTTTTCAAATCCGACCCAAGCTTTTTCAGTATAATGTACTGAATCTGATACATATCTGATGTCAAATGAACTCCTGGTCCTAAGGTGAGCAGATTGATCCAGTTATAATGATACTAACCTCGAGTTATTCTGTTTAAATCAGCTCCACATGACTTCAGCTATAGAACAGAAGTCCAGTTGTTTTGTATTTGTATTTTTTTTTTTACTTTTCTGTGTCCTGGATGACTGAGAATCTACAGAAACATATGATAGTATCGTCCAGCATCAGTCGTGGACCATATTTATACTAAAGTTACTCGATACTTTACTTCCAGCAAGTCGCTTTGTTCCAAAGATAAAATGCTTCATCGAAGCCTCTGGTCAGAGGCAGGTTCAGATGTAAACATTGAACTAAACAAGCATGTCAGATATTTATTTTGTTGCCTTTGACTGAACAACAACTTCAGAATCGACATGTTAATGAGTAGCATCCATGTTTAGCTGCTTCTGTAAACAGCCAGCTGAATGTGACATCSTGTCGTCTTCTGAGCACACAGGTCACAGCAGAGCTGCAGAGAGTTCACACTGGAGTCAAATGGAGGTCACATTTAAAATATAATGTGAACGTCCTCACAAAAAAAAGAATTTTGCAAAAGATCAGTATTGAGCATTAAGTCCTGCAGTGTGAACGTAGCCTTAGATGTGGTGTGTTAACAGAACACCACATGCAAAATGAAGCTGAGCATAGTTTGAAAAAGATAAAAATAAAAGTGCTTAAAGGCCAAGGGTGTGCCTGAAAAACAACAAATCAAATTCTGCAAAGGAGAGTTGCGTAATATTTAACCAYAAGTTGTAAGTCAAGTCAAAGTTAAGCTGTCAGGGTGGTTAACCTGAAGGGTCAAGGTCCAGTTTTCTGTGGGACATTCAAKGATTAAATGACTAAATTCATGTTTTTCTTCCTCACCTTATGGGTGTACATTTATTTTCTTCATGTTTTTCAATTGAAGATGGGTGTTTTACATGTATACATGCAAAGCACCCTTTATACTGCTTGAGCCTGCAGTGTAGTGGGCAGTTTTTTCTAATTTATTGTTCCTGATACTGAAGTAGCATCATGGCTGTTGAGGTCATTGTGGATTACATTTACATAAACATCTTGCAACACAGGGAAACACCATAACAGACCGTATTCTTGCATGTGCAGCAASTTTCCCCCTTTTCACTCTGTGTCTGAGCTCCTTCCCATAAACCCGCAGTACAGGATGTTTTGTGTTAACTGCGTGTCTCACGTCGCCTTCCCTCCTTCCCCTCAGGGAAGTACGCAATGAGGGACCTGGTGAACCGCCTCCCTGGAGGAAACACCTCCCTGCTGTCGGACGAGACCGTGGCAGCCGTCTGTTGCACCCTGCACGAGGTCACCAGCAAAAACATGGAAAACGCGAAGGCTCTGGCCGACACGGGCGGCATCGAGAAGCTGGTCAACATCACCAAGGGCAGAGGAGACAGGTGTGCTGCTGGAGCTTGTTTTTGTCAAAACTGTCATGGACTACTTTGATTTTTTTAGTCATTCTTTTTTTTTATTGTCCTGGACAATGAATTGTGGCTTTGTTATATGTATATTTAAATGCTTGAAGAAGGAGACGTTACAGCCACAGGGAAGGTGTTTCTGTGTGCACCGAGCTTTGTCGTCCCTGTGGAACGATGGTACAGCAGCTATTTCTAGCTTGCTGTACAGTCAGTAACATTCCAGGTTAAAACACGCCGAGGACACATTTCTCCGTCGATCGTACTGTCCTGCACTGTGCAGAATGTAAAGTTAATTCAGGTTGCAGGGATTCAGAAGGACTCAGAAATGTATGTTCAAGTGTTTGACTGTTTTTCAGATACTCGACGAAGGTGGTGAAAGCCGCAGCTCAGGTGCTGAACACACTATGGCAGTACAGGGATCTGCGAACCATTTACAAAAAGGTTAGTTCAACGTGAACGCTTACGAAGCTTACAGACGTTTATGACATTTACYTACGAAATTGGGAAAATGGCACACAACAACAGCTACTGCAGCTGTAAAATCGCTTCCCATTTCCTCTGTCTAAAGCTGGAAACATACTCCCTCCGATGCCAACAGGTCAACGCGCGGTCACGTGGTTGTTCAGCAGTCGTTTTTACACACACCTTTCATAGTCCCTGAGACACCCCGCGCCGAGCTCGGGAAACCCCCCTCCCGCTGCAGCATACGTCACCGCATGGAATTTCTCCCCACAACAGTCGACAAGGCAGAAAAAAAAGTCGTACTCGTCACTCACCCGATGTATTTATCCACATCTGTCCTGGTTAAAGCTCAAGAGCTTTTATCAGTCAGGTTCCTCCGTGCACAACGTCTGTTTAATCTCCATTCATGAGTTTTTCACGGTTTGACTATCTTTATAAAACTCTGCTTCCTGGTAACATTCGGCTCTGGGAGTGAGTTGGTTTTTTATTTTATTCTTTCCTTTCTTTTTTTACCGAATGGTTGAAGTAAATGCAGCGCATAGCGCTTTCAGCACAAACACGCCKTGAGTTTTTCTCGGTTTGACTATCTTTATAAAACTCTGCTTCAACAGTTAGCTCTACAAGCGAGTTATTMTATTTTTATTTTTTCTTTTGAGTGTCCGAGCGCTTTCAGCACAAAGAAACACGCCCACGAACTTCAGACCAATCACACATTACCGTCGTCGCGGGAGGAGGTAAAAAGTTCTGCAGGCGGGTTGTGCCAAAAGTGGCTGTCGACACYACGCTGCAAAGCCCGGTGACATAATTTTTGTCATTAAACTGCGACAACCCATGCTGACATCGGCAGTTTGGGGGGAGTATGTTTCAGGCTTAAGTCACTTCATTTTGTAAGTGTCTTCCAAAACTCTCGGCTAACCCAAGGTTCGGCATGGTGCCCTGAGGGCGTCCTGAGGCGTCGCCAGCACCCGATGCCAGAGTTCACTCCTCCCTAGGCTAATGAGTAGCAAAGATGGAGACACGAAGAAAACAAACAAGCAGGAAAATTATAATTATCGACCTCATTTCAATTTTTTGACTTCATTTTAGTTTATAGTGCGATTAATTGATTTATTGCTTATCATGCAGGCCCAATGATGATAATGTCAATCAAGAATTACTAGCTAAGCTATGTTATATGATGSGTATGAACTGTGGCTTTAAACAGGATGGGGTTTAGTAACATTGAGCCTTGTTTAGTTACTCAGARTATCACCGTTCCTTTACTGCCTCTACAGGACGGGTGGAACCAAAACCATTTCATCACACCCGTGTCAACACTTGAGAGGGACAGGTTCAAGTCCCAGCCCACTCTCCCTACCAGCACCATTCAGATGTCTCCAGTCAGCCACCCCGGTATGTCCGGTCAGACTCTTTTTATTGAAATGGACCTCTGGAAATTTAAGRCTGAACTTTATTTTTTTATTTTTTTCCGCAGCCGCCAGTGCCACATCATCTCCTGCAATGCTGGGCATCAAAGAGCATAGAGACTCCATCAGAGACTATCAGAGACCTCAGTCAACTATGCAATTTTATAATTACCAAGGAGACGGCAGTATTCACAGAAAACAGTATACAGGTACTCATCTGGCAGCTGGTGGTTCTTTTTTTTTTAAAGCCTCATTTGAATCTCCCTCATTATTTGCACCAGACTGGAGAAGCTGCTTGTCTCCTTTTCCAACCAAGATAAAAGTTGAACTCCTCTCATGATTTCCTCCTGGACAGAGGGGCCAGTTAACTCAGATCACTTCAGAGCTTCTTCCTGCACAGCTTCAAAGTGGGCTAAGTGAGGGCACTTCACAATGGTGCCATTAGCAGCAGGTTCAAGACTGAGCTCACAGATGGGCAGTGAGTGGGTACCCAGACATACTCCAGCCAGACGAGAGGCCTCGCCAGCCTARGCTGGTTGGTGGGAGCAGAGGGTGGCGCGGGCAGAATAAACAGACTGAGCCGCAGCCTCAACGTTTCATGTCTCACGTGTGCAAGTGGAAATTGAGTTTCTGGAATCCACCGGTTTGATAAAGTGCCAATGAAAATACCCATCCCATGGGTTATATAAACAGCCGAGCAGCTGGGGCCAGCTCTATTATTTTGTGTTATTTTTCTCCAGCAAAGCCCCGGCACTTCTTGATCCTGCTGTATCTAAATACAGGCGTTTGCCCTTTGGGGGGATGTGCCGACGTTTTTTCCCCGCTGATATGAAATGAGGTGTTTTTTTGCATTAAGTCTCACAATTTGATTCACCGCCACGCTCACTTTATTACTATTTTTATCTTGTTCAGGGTCTGGCAAACCGTCTCCGTATTACTACTCATCACCCACAAGGGAGGAGCCCAGAAGAACACAGGTGAATATAATAACACCATAAAAAAAAATCTGGTCGTACCTCACAGCCTCTTCGTTGTAGGATTACAATTTATGGGAGAACACTTCATATTTGTACACACTACTTAACTTATTGAGACTGTATTTGATTTATTCTCTTCAATTTATAAAACTCGTGATGATGATCAGTTCTTCTACCTCACTTGACCAATACAAAGAGTCTGGCTCAAATTCTACTGGCATTTCTGGGAATAATCCAACTCATCAGCTATTGTATGAGCAAGAGTGAGGGTGACTGCTGGGATTGGGATGTTCTGTGTGCTTAGCTTTGTATTAAAATAAAAAAGAAAATCAGCTAAAAAAAATGTGCTTTTTGCTGAAATTTCAGTACCCTTGCATGTTTTGTTATTAACTGATCTGAAATTGGTTTGCGMTGTTCTACATACTTTTTTAAATCAAATTACAAAATCAGTGCTTTTATTTTGAAGGTTTTAGGCACACAATGGATAATTTTGATTATTCCAGATGTTATAATCTCAGTGAAGAAGTTGATAAAGTAGTCACTGATGTTCACAAGCACAGTTTTCCTATCCTAAATATTGTGCTTCAAGATATAAAACTCCTATAAGAAGGAACCTGTTTTTCAGATATTTGGATCTGAAAGCCCAAACCACATATTAGAGAAGAAAAAGTTGTGAACGAACTCTGAAATGTGGAGCAGGGTTAGGAAAAAAGAATGTTAGAGGTTACATTAAAGGTTCATTTTTCAATTGGAAGAAATGAATTATGAAAATCTCCAATGCATATCCAGTCGAGCCATCAAATGTTAAAATGACCATTTAAACTTTTGAAACTTTTTTTTATTTTTCTCTAAAACAGTCTATTTTGTGTAGCCATTAAACTATAATTTATATTCATAGGAATGTAATTTTAGTAATCTTTTATTTAAATTCTCACTAATAAAGAATGCAATTTTGACTAAATGGAATGTAATTAAAAATGTGCATTTTTTCATATAATTGGTAGCAACACATGATACAACCTAGTATGTTTCTGTTAGTTTCCTGGTACATATATGTACCTAACACTTACAGGAAAAGTACTTGAACTTACAGGGTACACACCTGGTACTTACTGAAAAAGTACCCAAGTGCGGGTCTCTACAGTACATAGAGGGAGTTTCTTGTTGTATAGGCGGGGTTTGTCCTATCCATGATTGTTTGGGCGGAGCTATGTAAAATCGTAATTGGGCAATTTAAAAGAGGAAATAATGGTAACAGTAAAATTATTGTGAACATGTAAATATAATTTAATGACTTTAAATTTTGTGCAGCTAGCAGCCTCCTGTCACAAGTTATGAGTAATATTCATTTTCATTTTTAGCCATTGTTTTACAGACTGGTTAGGGCCGTTTTGACTGAGCAGAATTGTTACACATCCCTCCACGTGTAAGGTGTTCAAATTTCATGCAGCTAGCCCTTCCTGTCTTGAGTTAGGTATAAAATTAATATTTATATTTAAAAATATAGCTGCTTTCTGGCCGTTTTGACTAAGCTATTCCCAGCTGACCCCAGCTTCTTCAAACTCGACCCAAAATAGTCAATCTGACCAAAGACATCTTTAACAAACTACACCCACAAAAGTCAACCAGACCAATCACGTCTTGGACAAACTCCTCCCACAAAACAAGAAACTCSTACTTGGTGACTGCAGAGACCCTCTCCTCAAAGTACCTGGTACTTATAGGGTATGTACTTTACTTTACATCCCAGGGTACAAACCCTGGGATCTAAAGAGCATGTACATGGTATTTAACTGGATCTTACTGACCTACTTACCTGATTTGTATTGTGTATGTACCTTGTACTCACAGCATATGTACCTGGTTTGTACCTGTTACTTACCTAGTACTTACAGAGTATGTACTTTTTACTAACAGTGTACGTATTGTATTTACCTGGTTCTTAAGCATTATTTACATGATACTTAATGTGTACGTACCTGATACTTACAGGGTCTGTACCTAATTTGTTTCTGTTACTTACTTTGTACTGACAGAGTATGTACATGTTATTTATCTGTGTGTACCTGTTACTTATCTCGTATGTACCTGATACGTATCAAGTACATACCAGTAACGTAACAGGTACATTCCTGTTACATATCTGTTATTTTACTAGTATGTACCTGGTACTACATGGGAGCTTACAGGTGTCTTTCTTTTCTTTTCTTTTATTTGGATCCCCATTAGTTGCAGTTTTTGCAACTACGCTTCCTGGGGTCCACACATTAAACATAAAACAACACAAAATACATAGCGTACATAGTTCACATAAATTCAAAACAATAATAACTACACAATAAATAAAAAATAAATACAAATATAAAAATGGGTTTACTTAAAAAGGTTTACTTACAGTCCTTACAGTAAGTAAGTGAATTTTATATAGCACCTTTCACAGGTCAGAAACCACAAAGTACTAAGTATAAGACATAAAAGCACAGTAGATGAAGCAGAGTACAGAGTACTGTATCACAATCTGTATAGGGTACCTACCAGGTATTTGTATGTATTCTGTGTTTCTACCTAATAATCTATTAGTCTTCTTGCCTGTTTGTCTTGCAGCCTGTGTATTACACAGATGAGCCCAGCAGGAGGAACTACGATACCTACAGAATGTACCTGCAGCACCCTCATGGCTACAACGACACATTTTTAGAAGAAGTCATCACCTACCCTCCTACAGTGGACTACCAGCCTCACGGACTGAAATCCACAGCTAACTACGTGGATTATTACACGAGCACACGGAGGCCTTCGTACCGATCTGAGCAGTACCCGGGTTCTCCTGACTCCTGGGTATAATTGTGAAGACATTTATGTTGCCATTCAAGAACTTCCATCCACCCCTCGGTCTCATTTTTGGGGGTATAAGGGGTGATGAAAAACAAAAAAGAAAGAAGAAGCACATGAGAAATATTTTTCATGAACCAGTCTTTGGAAGTGTGTTTGTTTTCAAGTGGATGTGCGTGTTTGGAGGAGGAGTTCACCTGAGCGGTTGCAGATGGAGAGACGGGATGTGTGCCAAAGAGGGAAATCAAGGAATGTTTTTTTTTAAAGAATATTTTCTTTTAGCAGAAGACGATGGAATCATGCTGGGCGGGGGAGACCATATTGGACACTACCGTGAGAGAAGTCATGTCGTGTGTAGATACTAGTTTTATTTTCTTTAAGGAACTCGTAACTGTGATAGCATGGTTAAAGGTGTGAGTTGTGTAAGCGAGGGTCCGAGGTAAGAGTCAAAATGTGGGGGGATGTGTATGTGCTGAAGCCAAGATGAATTATGAACTCACCTGTAAAAAGACAAAAGAATAATTAACGATAGACTGTACAGAGGGATGAGATTATATCTGTACTTTAGTGTTGAAACTGTGTAATGCCATGGAGTCTTGTACATTTCTTTAATTTTATTGTAAATACAGAGAACACCTCAGCACTGGTTTAAAAAATGAAATAACTTGTGCCATGTTAAAGCTCTAAAGGTGTATAGTTACACAAATATGTGGAAAAAAGATGGCATCATAATCATGTTAAATAAATAAAAGGTCAGTTTTGTTTTTTAAATCTGTTGTGTAGTTTCATCTTTTTAATAGCAAAGGTGTGTTTTCTTTATATGACATTGTTATGGCAATATTTATTTAACAAAGACAGAAATACGTGGTCCAAAAATAAAGGTACTCCGTGAGATGATCAGCTGAGTTCTATTGCAACAACAGGAAACACAGAGAACAACCTGGCCTGTCTCTGTGCCTCTGCTTCTCTGTCACTGCCTCTCCACACTACTGTTGAACACTGTGTCTCGAGAGGCCTCATATATATATTACCAAACACCATTATGTCATCTTAGCATGATTTGACACAAGGTCAATGGAAAACACAAAGATAAACACAAGTGATATCTAAGAATGACTCTTGTTAGCAAATCTTGTTCTGAGTTTAATCATTCTATCTGCAGATGAACAGCAAGTCATGAAAACCTAGGTCATTAAAGGATGTCATGAATTACTTGCTTAAACATAAAGGTGTTAGTTCCACCACACTCCCCCATCTGATCATTAAATCACCAATTAAGTGATCAATAAAACAAAAAAACTCTTTAAAGTATTTTAAAAAAAACATGTCAATACAAACCTAAGTATATGTACTTTTCTAAAATCCCAACCCCAGTAATTCAATTTCTCCCACAGTAAGTACTAACCCCAAAACATAGTTATCACACAAAAGTCTTTGGATCATCTTGAACACAAAC